GGCATGCGAGAAAGCGATGTTATCGAACCTTCAGCAAGTCCTTGGGCCTCTCCCATCATCCTGGTAGGAAAGAAAGAGGGTTCAACTAGATTTTAGTATCACCAGTTGAACGAAGTTATGAAGGAAGTCAGGTATCCTCTCCCTAGAACTGATGACATTCTGGACACTTTCTGGAAGCAAGTGGTTTTCCATGCTTGGTTTAAAGAGAAGATATTGGCAGATAGAGATATATCTTGATGATTAAGAAAAGACGGCATTTACTACCTAACAAAGACTGTGGCATTTCAAGGTAATGCTGTTAGGACTATGTAATGTGCTGGCAACATTCGAATGCTTCATGGAAACTGTTTCGAAAGGTCTTTCCTACAAAGCCTGTCTGATATACCTGGATAACATCATTGTTGGGAAGAGTTTTGAAGAGCATCTAGAAAATCTTAGAAAGGTGCTTCAGAAACATAAGGAAGCCAATATAAAGTTAAGTCTCGGTAAATGTAAATTATTCAGACAGGAAGTTACTTCCTTCGGACTTGCCATCTTTGCTGAATGTGTGTGTACGGACAGCAGTTAAAGACTGGAGATGCCCCCAAAATATCCATCAGCTGAGAAGTTTCCTAGGGCTTTGCACTTACTACAGGAGATTTGAAGGACTTTTCTTTCATTGCAAGACCTCTTCACAAGCTGACAGAAAGCAAGCAAAAGTTTTTGTGGATAAAAGAATGTGAGTGTACATTTAACAAACTGAAAGAGATTTTAATATCTGCTACAATCATGACGTATCCTGAGCTTGACAAGCCTTTTTCTTTGACATGGATGCAAGCAATGAGAGTGTTGGTGCTGTTTTTATCCCAAGAAATAAATGGTTAAGAATGTGTCATGGCATACTGGAGCAAGTGTCTATCTAAACCAGAGAGGAATTACTGTGTCACAAGGAAAGAGTTGCGTGCTATAGTTACAGCTGTAGAACATTTTCATCACTATCTTTACGACAGAAAATTCCTTCTCTGCACAGATCATGCATTGCTGACCTGGCTCTTAAATGTCAAGAATCCTGACGGCCAAATAGCCAGGTGGATACAGATACTCCAGGAATATAGCACAACTATCCATGATCATATGGAAACTTCGATGTCTAGAAGACCCTAACCAGAAAAAGCTGCTGATATTGTGAGTCGAAGCAAAATATGAACTGCTTAATCCGGTTGCATGACAAATTACAATTTCAACATTGGCTGATTGAGACCAGTGGAGCGTCGAAGGCAGGAAAGACCAGTTGGAAGACAGACACATTAAACCCATAATCAATTGACTTAATGGAGTCTTCAAAAGGAAACCTACATGGCAGGACATATCGATCTATACTCCTATGCCAAAACAAGATTGGGTTCTCTGGGACTCGCTCCATATTCGATATAGCATCTTGTATCGGAAGTTCCGAATTGGATGATGGAAAGGTGTTCTGATGACTGCTGATACTTTCAAGATCCTGAAATGTCCTTAAACTATATAGCAGTCTAACAGGAGGCTACTTTGGAATAATGAAGACACTGCATAGAGTTCAAGAAGGTTTCTATGGAGTAATGCAAGGGTTGACGTGCAGAAGTGATGTCAATCATGCAATGCTTTTGAGGGTCAGAAAAGACTGAAAAAATGCAGCTGAGTGAAGTTACAATGTAGAAGCATCTTTTGAACGCATTGCCTTGTATATTCTGCCATGAACTACAGATACATCCTCATTGTCACCGATTACTTCACGAAGTGGCTCCTCCCTGATCAAGAGGCTGTCACGATAGTAGAGTTATAGTGGAAGACTGAAGATTTAAATTTTATTTAATATAGTATATATAATTAAATTTTTTGTGCTAGAAATGGATGATTCTTATTGTGACAGTAGTGACTGTAGAAGTTTTATCCTTAAACCCTTATCACATACGATATTTGTTGCCGGAACAAAACGTTTGCAGCAACAGTTCTGAGAAACGCGCTTTGGCGAAATAGGGTTACCATCTTCACTTGGTAAACAGGCTGAAAGCCAAACAAGAATCAGTTATCGCTCAGATTGGCGAAAGTGACATTCACTTCTTCGTTTTGTTTCGTATCACTCACGTGCTTTTCGTTTTAAACTTTATTGTTAGTAATGGAAGATAATAGAAAAGTGATTGCTATCAAGTTAATCACTTTGATCTCCACTCTGGCACTTCAAGTAACAGATAAACACACTTCTGGTTATAGTAATCAATTACATCAGTAATAGCCAAATTCTGTATACACTAAAAATAGTTTAAAACGTGTGCTGGATAAATAGGTGATAATCAGTTGTGCACTGTTTTAAGTAATCAAATGTTATAAATGCACAGCTGTTACATTTCTTATTATTTATTAGTCACGTTTTTATTACGTAGATCATACCTATGATATAATTATGAATTAACCCAATAACAAAATGTGTACACTCTTTAGTACTCAAATACTCATCAATTATTTTTCAACTGATTATTACATACCCATAATAATTTGCAAAGAACTGATAATCCATTCAAACAAACAACAAAAAAAAAAAAAAAAAAAAAAAAAAAGGAGGGGATAAAAAAGACCTTTTATGACAAAAGTCTATATGGCTGATATTTACATCCTCACAGCCAGCAGATACCATTCAGCAAAATGAAGATCAAAAAGCATATGAATACATGAGCAATCAAACATGTGCGAGTTGTTTACTGTCCCATAGAACACTCGGTAATACACCTAAAACACATTAATTATACCAACTCTAGAAATTAGGTGGTGCACATCATGAGTTTGTTTCATGTGATTACGGCAAAGCCTCGAGGGATATCTGCCTAACAAGAGGGATCCCTTTGTTGAAGATTTTTTAAAACTGGCTCGTATACCAGTTACAAATGGGGCCAAACCAAGGAAACGTCATGTAGCCAGCCCGTTCGCGGCATTCTAACTAACCTGAGACAGAACTACCAGTGTTCAACGACGCTTCGGCCACTAGTAGGCCCGTGCACTTAATTGGAAAGTGCAATTCATTATGTAAACAGACATGAAAGGTGATAATCAGTTGTGCACTGTTTTAAGTAATCAAATGTTATAAATGCACAGCTGTTTACATTTCTTATTATTTATTAGTCACATTTTTATTACGTAGATCATACGTATGATATAATTATGAATTAACCCAAATAACAAAATGTGTACACTCTTTAGTACTCAAATACTCATCAATTATTTTTCAACTGATTATTACATACCCATAATAATTTGCAAAGAACTGATAACTATAGTTGCTGCCAATTACATAATCGTTATCTGAATTAAAAGTAACTTCAAATAAACTTTCTGGCAATGTTCATTTTTGTATTCATACATACATATATATATATACACATCTAATAAGTCATATATTTACATACAGATAGAGAGATGCGATGGTTTTAGAAGTTAATATATTTTTATTAGTATTAATGTAATGAATAAGATTTATATTAATGAATGTATATACAAATGTTTTTCATCATGCATAATAATAAATCCATAAATTTCCAATGTTTCAATATGTAGCATTTACAATAAAAGTATAGTTTCTAATGTATTTATAATTCAAAAAGTATTTCATTAATAACATGAAAATAATAGACAAATTTAATGAGTATTCTCATTATTACATAAGCTATGCTTTTCTTTTTTTATGCATCTTTTACGCTGTTTAAAATGTGTCACTGATTATGCAATTAACAATTTAAAAGACAAGTAATTAGGAGAAAAGCCGTGCATATACAAACAGATTTAAAAAAATTATTCAACTTAAATTTAAGAAATAAAATTCTTTTATATAACAGTGATAATACACGATCAGCATGAAATATGACAAATTTGGTGACTAACAATTTGTAAACAAATCCGAATTGCAAGAACGTTGTAAAATACCGTCAACTCTGAAATTTCCACAATTATATATTTAATGAATATATACACTTTTAAAAAACGACTCAGGCAGTTGTATTACAACAAAACAGCAATAATTAAATCGGCCTCTATTTCCAATGTCCATCACTTCACAGTGAGAGCCATCGCCATATTGAAAGTTACCCGTGATCCTTCAGAAGCAGAACTTTCGTCTGATTGGTTTAACGTTCGAGGAACATGTCTCCAGCTGGAACAGTTTCGGACAAATTTTAAAATGTTGCTCGTAGACGGGACAGGTTCCTCCTAGCTAGATGAAACATTTCTCGGAAGCCTGCCGCTTAAAGCCGTGCTACTAGAATCTCGTTTCTCGGAATTGTCCTGGGTAAGCGCGTGCGTCCATAGAAGTGATAGGGCCATTAGTATCTATGAAACAACAAAACAGGAATTTTTTTTTTTTTTTTTTGTTACTCCATGTGAATGAGTGATCCTATGGAATTCTATAATATTTTATAATTTTTGATGATGTCAGTTATATATATGGTAGTTTTGGAAAGTAATATCTTTTATACTGATCATATGAATGAAATGGCTTGTATCTATTTTTAGGTAGAAAATATTGAAGCAGTTTTTTCTGATAAAATATGGTATTGTGTGAAACTAATATTATGCTTAACTAGTATTTTGTCAGCAGGCTTGCAACCATTTTTATGAAGAAAATATGTCAAACTATTCAAAATTAATTTAATGCTCATTCTGATTTGAATGAAATATTAAAAGGAGTAATGGTAATTTTTATTTATCTTTCAGTCTATTTTATGTTTGGCTACCAAGTAATTTTTATGATGTATTATATAAAAATGCAATTCTCTTGCAATTTCTAAATTAAAAAAAAAAAAAACAATTTTTAAGAATTTAAAAAATTATTGAGTTAAAGTGGTTAAAAAATTAAAATTTAAAGGAAGATTATAAATAAATGAAAAAGTCTACAAAATCAGCTTCTAAAACTTGGTTTGAATGAATCATACGGAAAAAATAATAGATAAAGATAGAAATATGCCACAGAATTAAAAATTTGGAAACCTTTCTGAAAATTTTCTTGGAAGTGATTTTATTATTCATTACTGAACAATTTGTGATTATGATTAATTATAAATGTGCAGCAAAATTAGAATACAGTATCTAGATAGAATTGTACATATTTATACATCTAAAAATATGTTTGTTTTATTTATTCTTTTAAATTTTATTATTTTTTTAATATGGATTTATATGCTATCTTGAAATCAGGATTCCTTATCTAAAAACGCTTTACAACATCTTGCACACTGTTGATAGACTTCTTCAAACCCTTCATCATCATCATCCTGTAAAAAAACAAATTTTTTATAACAAAAAGCATGTAAAATTTATCCCTCTCCATCACCAAGCGTACGTTTTTTGATAATTCATAAAATCACTGGATTATGGAAGACATAAGTATTAAGTACATTACAGATAATAATAGAATGTTTTAACTTGAAAAATTTAAGTAATTTTTGACTGAATTGTAAAAAAGCAGGGATTTCAGATTACATTTTGCTACACTTTTTGACCAAGCTTTAATGATATGTAATGCATTTCTTAATTTAAATGCAAATAATCACTAGCATAAAAAGTGATACATTCCTCCACATTTGCTTATTCTTTAGGTAATGAACCTTTTCTTTGCTAGTTAATCAGACCTAACAAATCACAAGAGGATTATCTACCAAGAGGAGAGATGCTTTCAGGGAGACTTTCTTAGAGAAACTGGTTCCTATTTGTGTTACATTAAGAGAAATTTCTCATGCAGCCAGTTCATTTCACTGGGATTTGAACTCGCATTGAACTTCTAGTGTTCAACAATCTTACTTAGCCATTGGTTGGTATAATGAACTTGAATGTACAAAAATGTGATTCATGTAAAGTATGTATAAGCTAATTCTGTTTTTAAAGTCTCCCATATACAACAGTCTTTTTTCCGAGGCAGATAACCCTGCTGTATTTAAATCATAATATATATGGATTTTATGTTTATTTAAAAATTCATGAATAGTGAACTGGTAAATTATTTAATTCTATGACTCAGCACGTTTGAGATAATACGTTTAACAAATGATTAGGAGCCAAAAACATGCACCTACATTATATTTGCGAAGGTGATGTTACACTACATAGCATTTTATATACAGTTTACATTTGTATAACATATAAATTATCTTAATTATTTAACCATATTTTGAATATTTTTATAATTTCAAGATAAAAATATGGATAGTAAAAAAGGGCATTTTTTAATTTCATATTTTGAAATAAAAAAATTTAAAATAAAATTGAAATAAATTGAATGTAGATAGTACATCAGCAAACTCCAAAAATAATGAAATTAACGTCATTGTAAGTTGCTGAATTTTTTTCCTAATGTTAGCATGCCTGGAATTTTTATAAAATTAGAGAACATTTAATCTTGGTAATATTTCACTATGAAATATAGGTGAGTAATTAAGAAGTTTAATTTTGTTTTAACGCACAATAAAAATTTTAATATCACTTTCCAGCAATATTTTTTTAAACCTAGCAGTATGTCAAAATAAGTAGGAAGATTGAAATTGCATTGAAAATACACGGTACTAACATTAATATTCATAACATACATAGTTATTACAAAAGATGTGTATGGTTTCAATTAGCTATGGAAAAAAGGACAATGAAAATTATAGACATTTCCACTAAAATAGTAACCATGATTGTAGTGAAAATTGCTTTTTGTTTTTCATCAAGCTAGCTTAGATAATTTCAATTTGGAGTGAATTTTAACTGCTTTCACAAAATATCTTAAACCATAAGGTGTAGAATCTGAAGTTTAAGACTTAAACCTCATTGTTGATTTCTTTGGATTTTGTAGAAAGCCTTTGTGGCATTTTAAATTTATTCTCTAGGAATGCAGAGTCATCCAGGACTTATCCCTGTTCATAAATTTGTACAGACCATAAACTTCTATTTAAGAATGTTTTGCTGAATTCTGAAAACAAATGTCTCCTCTGGTACAGAAATTTATCAGCTTTGCCATGTAACAATGACTTTCACACTTTTTTTTTCAAATTATTGGAATTGTAAACCTTTATTGGAAAAACCCTACATACATAGAATTTTTCATTTAAAATGTTAAAACAACGGTCAGTCTAAATTATCGTTTAGTTTTCAGTCACACTGAGTACTCTAAAGAAATTGTTTTTATGCTGATTCTGATTTGAAATCATGTAAAAAAAAAAAAAAAAAAAAAAAAAGCATATTAATTAAATGTTAAGATGTTAAAAAAATTAAGTAACTGATATCTAATGTGACACACATCCATATATATAATTCCTCGGAAATATTTTTTTCGCAATTTTTGAAGAATTATTCTACGAAATGAATGGGCTATAATTATTCATATAGTTTAATGTATTCACGTAGTGTGATTTTGCTTAATGTACATATTACAGTACAAAGTCCGTAATCCGGACTTGTCGGGACTTCGGCGATTCCGGATTAGAGGTTTTTACGGATTATAGATCATCAATTTAAGTCTGGTAAGCTGGCATGAAGAAATTATACAATAAAAAATATGAAACCGTAATTTATGAAATAAAGAGAAACTATGATCTAAAAGAGTATCACAATTTAAAAAAAAAACAGCTTAATATTTATTTGTTTACTTTAGTAAACATTTCTTTCAATGTAAGTTGCTTCGTTTTTTGTGCTAATACTTTCTCTTTAATTCTATAAACAGACATAATTTCTTGTTCAGTTACAAAGTTCCACTGTTTAAGTCCTGTAATTGCTGTGTCAAGAATACCAACTAACTTGCCAATCGAAATTTTTTCGTTTTTAATAACGTTCTCCATTACTTTCCTCACTATCGGAAGCGCGCATGTGTAAACTGGCTTTACGCGCACATCAAACGGGCTTTACACGTATGCGTAAGTTTGTGGCTTTGAGGTCCGGATTACGAACTTTGTACTGTAGTTGATGAAACAATTAGCTACATTAAGTGAAATTTTCTTGAATGCAAGGTTGAACAAAGACATGATTTTAAAACTGAATTTTTTACACCACATACAGACAATGCTGCATTACAAAGTCTCACAAAATAGCCTTGTTTTGGAATTATTTTGCTATGAAGCATTATTCTTACATTGCTGCCATTAAGTTATATATTACAAAATCTCTATGTGCAATTCCAGAAAATTTCATACGCATTTCACATGACAAAGTTGCATTGTGCAACAGTACTTTTATATGGAACTAAAAAAAAAGAAGAAAGATTTGTGGACACAAAACCACCCACCTAATGATGTGTATGAATTCATTTAGAGAGCATTATTTAAGAAATTAAATGAATACAAAATGCTCAAGAAATTAAATTTGCACCTAAATATTGTCTTGGGGGGGGGGGGAAATACAGACAATATTCTGGATACAATTAACAAAAAATTTCCAGTTAACAGCCAGAATTGAGTTTAACATAGCACGGATAACTAACATGAAATTATAATAATATGTTTTAGGCATTTTTATACATTCATATTATAATAAAGGATTATAATATTACTTACATAATAGGGGTCACGAATTATGCATGGGCCTTCAGGGTCATAATCTCCTAATAATTCTATTTTTGCTGTGCTGTTTTTAGGAGCTAGTCGTTTTAGATCTCTACAGAAAATAAAATGCATATATTAAAAATTATTTTTCCATAAAATAAAAGCTAATAATATCAATTTAAAAGATTTTCTGAAAGCCACACAGAATATTTCCATACAGTATTCTTAGATTTTTCAGTGCCTCTCAAAAACCAAAATATAAATACAATATAGAAAGATAAATATAAATACAATGTAAAAAGAATAATGTATAATGCATGAAAATTCCTAATACATATGTTAGCAATATATAAAATTATTAAAAAATTTCATTAAAATTTTGATACAATTAAATTTATGATACATGATCTAAATCTACATATTATAAAGTGGCGAGATATTTTTGGTTCGAGTGAGGGATATTTAATTGTTGGAAGAAGACTAAAACTCAATAAAATCTTTTATATTGTTAGGGAGATGCAAAGACGGTGAAAATTTTCCAGTTGTGTACTTTGAAAACAATTTTGTACCTTTTCTAAAAATCCTTCAAAGGGAATATTCAAATTATATTTGGTTTATATTATATTTTAATCTCGGCTTTCAATTTTCTCTAACAAAGCCCTGTAATGAAAATATTCTCTCCTATATAAAGAGTATATTTTCAAATATTAGCAAAACTACATGATTCTCTCAACATGCTTGGAACATTAACACTTACTTCATATATTCTATACCAATATTAATCCAATCCTGTAGGGTTTGCCCCCCCTGTTTATATTGTTTTAAATATGAAACCTTATCCAAACATGAACTTATATTTACATTTTTTATTTAAGTCAAAATCACTTTGAAGTATTGAAATAACATTATTACCTGGTATATTTGCTCAAAATTACTAAAATTTTGAAAATTCCCATAATCATTACAATATTACATATATACTTATTACAATATTATACATATCTTAGAAAAGCAGATGTGTAGATACTTAAGATGACATAAGGTGAAGAAAAGCTTTAGCTGAGGTGGTGTTGATTTAACAGTTTTATTTCATAATTACTAGATTCACACATAATCGTTATGGTTGCACTATGCATTTCACAATTTTACACAGCTTTATACCTCTTTAGACAATGGTGATAGTAAAGTTTACCTTTTCATTATCCTGAAAACGATGATCATAACACTTTCACTATACTTTTTAAGAACACTTCTGAATTTTTGAAATCATAACACTTTCCACTTGAAGAACGAAACTAGACTTTTGTTTTTAAACTGCATATTCCATTATCTAGAAAAACTTGATAATTCGTGATAAAAGGTTGATCAAATGCCAGAATGAAGACACCTTCACGATAATGTGATTTTATTTTACACACAAAAATAAAAAAATATTATAAGTGAATTTACATAGTAGGACGTCAGCAGAATATGCCGGTTCACCACACACACTTCCACACCTCTTCTTTCTCAACTTCTGATCTTCATGAAGTTCTTTTACTGCGCTTCTGTGCCAAAGTCCACATTTGGCAAAATTTGTATACTTGGCGGTTCTATCAGTTTTTTTAATCTTACAGTAATAAACGGTAAAGGCAAGAGATGCATGTTGGCTAGCAGCAAGTGAAGTAGAGAAAAAGGGCTGCAGTGGTAATTATAGACTTGATTTCTTTATTTAGATTCAGGATCTATGATTGGATCTGAGTTGTTGCAATGCTGGAGGATTACATAAGGAAGCATGAAACAGAAAATGCAGTACAGAAAAAATATTATAAACAATTTAGAATAGAAATGAGAGATGCACAGTTTTTAAATTAAGGTTTCATTTGGCTTAATCTCTAGTTTTCAGTTTTAAAATATAACCAGCACCACATAAATTCTATCAAACATGACTCTAAATGGTGGCAAGCAGTGCCCTGCTGAAACTTATTTTTACATTTAGCACTGCCTCACAATTGCTCCACAGTTTGGGTATGGCATTAGGTTTCGGGGTCTATAAGTTTATAACTGTGATTCACAGTGAAATGTTCAGCATTTCTTAATTCCTCTTTCTTATATCCTTTTTAGCAGTCTGAAAATATAATGCTGCCATCCGTGATGTTTTCCTGAATGGCAGTAATCAATGTTGTAGCACAACGATCAGGAATGGCAACTAGAAAGCATTCTTTGCTTTCCTGCCATAAACCCCCGAATGCCCGTTTTTCCAGAACATATCCAATGTTGTTTTTATTTTTTGTGAAAAGACTCGTCTATTTCTATGATTTTGTTGGCTCCATCGATTTTATTTCTTTTACCAGAGTTGTCACACTACCTGGAAAAGTCAGGGAATTTCATGTGGTGATCCCACCCCCAAAAAAACGAGTTTTGCACCAACGTTGGAAGAGACCACTTTCTTGGTGAAATGTGTATCACATGAGCGTCATTGGAGCAGCTGGCATATAGCCAATTTTCACAGCTCCAATTAGATTGTCTTTTGGAAAGGCAAAGGAAGTTTCCAGCAGCTTTGCTTTCCAATAACCTCAAAAATCGCATGCGCATGTGCAATGCATGTTGAACTAAACAAAATATTTATTCTCGTATAAAACAAAATTGGTTTAATCCTAGTATACGGTACTATGGAGGTTAGAATCAAAGAATACGTATTGTTAAGAAGGAAAACTCTGCAACAAGAGTGCCTCCATTGCAATGTAGAGGGGAAACAGCTGCGCATGTGAGAAATATCTGTCGCCAAAAGCTCGAAGCCCGTGTTGAAGTTCAAAGGTCACGTTACCAAGAGTTCATAAAATGAATATCGTTTAAAATTTCTTTAAACTTTAAAAGGAAAAGAAAATATTTTTTCGCACAAGAAAATTAATCAATGGATTACTTATTTTGAAAGGGGCGGACCTACGAAAATCTGTGTTTAAATTATTGCGAAAAATCAAAGAAGAAACGTTTTGTCAAAGAACATTTCTTCTTAACACGAGTTCCTCAATTTCCTGTACACATTACAGAGAGGGAAATTCTGGCTGCCAAATCCCTTGGTGAATTTTCCCTCCACTTTTCAGCGGTGTAATAGCATTACGTCTATGGAACCTTTCCTTCTTTACATAGACATTCTTTGGTTACAATAACCTTCATGTATTCTATTCTAACCTCTACGTACAGTACACATGGGATTTGGCAAAATTGGGATGAGCAGTAAACGGATTATTTTGGTGTCAGCGACAATTTTCTAGATCGTACTAAGGCCTTAGCATATACTAGGATTTTACCAAAAATCTTTTAAACTTTTTTTTTTAATGTATGATACACACGAGATTTGGCGACATTATGATGAGTAGTAAACAGGTCATTTGTTGTTGGCGACCATTTTCAAAATTGTGCCAAGGCCTTACCGTATACTAGAATTTGACCCCAAAATTTTTTAAACCTTTTTTTTTTTTTTTTATAATAAATGCCTTATTTGTCATTTTGCAGTAAAATAAAAAAAAATAAAAAAATAAATAAAAAAATAGTAATCAGCCATTTGGGGTAACCATTTAATATAACTATATTCGCTAAAATATCGTTGATTATTCTAATTCAATTTTTAAGTAATTATTTTTATTTTTATGTTATTCGCATCATTTAATGTTGCTTCTTCCCTCTAAATTTATTTATTATTAGTAAATACCGTATTTGATGGCATATAAGACGCTACCTTATTTAGAAGGCCACACACAAGGAAAAAAAATTTTCATTAGTCCGCGCTGTTTTGTAAAAGCCAAATAAAAAATCATTGAATGCAATTACCAAACATATTTTTATTAAGAAAAATTAACAAACAACAAACTATTTTGAACATAATATGTAAATTTCAATAATGAATAAATGAATGGCAAGCAATCAAACATAATACAAAATAAAGCAGAAACAACAAAAAACACAAATTCAAGGAAAACGTTGCCTTTCATGAAATTAGACTTTAATCACTTTCAAAACCATAAAAATCCTTTTCACTATCATCATCATCGAAAACAATAATATCGTCATCACTACTGTTTTCGTCATCACTAGTATCACCTTCTTTGAATAATGCGTCGTCGTCTGTTCAGTCAAGGGCATTACTGATTTCGCATTTCTTAAAGGACTTAACAATTATTTCAGCCTTTACGTCCTCCCAAGATCTTTTTATTCACTCACACACTTGTGAAATAGAAGGCCGCTTCATTCTACCTGAGGATGTGATGTGGTTCTCCTATCCACTTGTTCCATCATTCTCACACTTTTTCCTTAAATGGCTTATTCACCGATACATGTAACAGTTGCAATTGGCTAGTCAGTCCATCAGGAATGACAGCTATCTGGGTTTTTAATTCTCTCGCTTTATTCTTTATGGTTTCAGTTCTATGGGCGCTAAACTGATCCAAAACCAAAAGAGAGGGTTTTCTTAAGAGTCCACCAGGTCGCCTCGCCCATACGTTCTGTAACCACAGTTTCATTCCAACTTCATCCATCCAGCCTTTCAGATGAACATGAACAATTACACCCATTGGAAGTTTTTTCTTTCGGATGAGTTTTTCTTTTGAATATGAAAAGCAGCGGTAGTTTTCTGCCATCAGCACAACATGTTAGAACTATCGTATATCGGGTTTTTTCATGACCTGTGGTTCTTATGGTTATTGATTTAGACCCTTTAATAGTCACAGTCTTGTTGGATTGTACATCAAATGTGAGTGAAATTTCATCCATATTTCCTATTTGACCGAGCTCAAAAGAAGTTTTCTTACGTGCATTTATAACAAACCTATGAAATGCTAGAATTTTTTCTTCATAATCTGCTGGCATTATCTGTGCAATAGTTGTTTTTGTGTGCATTGATAAGTCTTGCCTTTTCATGAACCTGTAGCACGAGCCCTCACACCCTGAAAAGTTTTGATTCCCATGTTTTTCTGCAAATCCTTTGGCCTCATTGATTATCATTTTGGTTGAAACACTTATCCCAGATTTCCTCTTATCTATCACCCACATTTTTACGGCATTTTCAAGTTCAGGCCAAGAAGGAGCTGAGCATCGAAGGTTATGTTTTTGTTTTTTAGCAGTCTTTGGTTGATCTTCCTGCAGTCGCCAAGTAGGTATCATTTTTTCGGTAGGTGGTGGACCAAAATGCCTTGCTGCTGCGCTGTTTCCATGCACTTTGGCGTAGTTTAACACTCCAAGTGTAGTTTAACACACACTATACTGAATTGTATAGCTTAATCTCTTGTTTCCTGTAGTCATATTTTCCAGGGTATTTTTTTAAACAAATAGTTTTGAGCACCGGTAGCGACACATTTATACAGAGTAGCACCGATACCGACACGTGTGTTGGCTGAGTCAAAGTCTATGTAAATAAGGAAAGGCTCCATAGACATAATGTGACCGTCGAACCTGTTCGAACTTCGACATCAGCTTCGAGCTTTGGCACTTTTTGGCGACAAATATTTCATGCATGCGCAAAATATTTATGGCAGATGTAGAAAAAGTTATGCGTGTCTAGACCTTTATCCGGGCTAAAAATAGCATTCAGTATTGAAAGTTAACCTGTGCCCTTCACGTATAAGACACAGGTAACTTTTATGAGACCAAATTTAGGAAAAAAGTGCGTCTTATATGCCGTCAAATACAGTAATACTTTTAAATTTCAAGAAATTTCCTCTGGCATAATCCTGAAATTAATTCTAGCAGTATGATGACATACCCATCATGAAATTTAATGCACAGATTTTTGCTTATGTACGTTGTTAAAAAAATATAAAATACCTGAATTTTTTAAACATATCATTAAATAGATTTCTTTCTTTCATTTAGCTGCAAAATGTCTGCAAAAAAAAGATTTTTTTTAAAATCCAGATTGGGCAAATTCTAATCTCAATCTTCAGTGGAGAAAATAACTATTATAGTTATAATAGTAATGCTTTGGGTTATTATAGTTATAATAGTAATTTCCCTGAAGGAATCTTCCAGCAGCCTCTTCGTTAATGCGTAATTTCCAAATTGTGTAGTCCATCGTACTAAAAAAAAGGCGAAATATGGAAAAAAACTATAATAGTTATAATAGTAATGCTTATACATATATATAACTCATATGAAATTGGCAAATTTTTGTGTTTTCAAGTAATACAGTCAAAAACCGAAAATCCGCGTTGCCTCTCAAAACATTCAGTTTATAGGTTTCGGAAACCACAACGCGAAGTACAAAATATCAAAAAAAAAGTACTTAGCGGATAATGACATCATAATTACCGAATAAAATGAGTCATAATGGAAATACCAAATTACTGACATCATGATAAGAGTTTTTCTACTCCAGTCTGCATATAGGTAAGAAAGTAGATGATTCACTTAACTCTTCCTTCAAGTACACAATTCACGTTGTTGTACTTTCTGAGCTTTGTTATTTGATGGCATTGTTTAGTGCTGCCCTTTTTTTTTATCCAGATATTTTGTGGATAAATTAAGAATATTTTAAATTTCAGTGCTTTTTAATACCATGACAGATAAGAAATGCACTCATTTTACTGCTTGCAATGTTGAAAAACGTAATCACGTTGCATTGACGGTAATACAAAAAGTGGAAATTCTGCAAAAGATGAAAGGAGGTGCTACTCCTCGGTTTATAGCAGAATCGTATGGAATTGTGACACAGACCGTGCACAATATACAGAAAAATAAAGAAAAGCTGTTAAAATTTTACAGCAATAGTTACTGTAACACCAGAATCCAAAACCGGAAATCTTTACACGAGGCAAAATCCGCAAACCTCGATGCCGTCTCGTACGAGTGGTTCCGGCAGCAGCCCGAGTGACAGGGTACCAATTTCAGGACTGCTCCTGAGAAGAAGGGGAAGCAGATTCATGCTGATTTAAAAATAGAGGGGCCTATATATAATCAATTTATATGTTATAATAATTTAATGCATATAATAATTTAATTAAATTATCTAATATGCCTTATTTATTTTTGCACTTTTAGCCTGAATATTATGATTTATCTTTTCTATCCCGAAATCCGCAAAATCCTAAAATCCGCACAACGTCTGGTCCCGAACTTTGCGGATTTCTGGACTTCTACTGTACTAATTAATTTACCTCTTAGGACAGCTAACGTGCATTATGCAGATAGACTGGAATTTTCTCAAAACACACCTGGAAAAGTCAGGGAATTTCATTCTCCTGTTTAAGTGGCAATCCTGTTTTACGAGACATCAAAGTATTTGCACATATCTACCTTAAGTAGTTATTTCAATCTACTGTCCTATTATAGCTGATTTCTAACTGAAGCTAGCAAAATTAAACTGACATCAATTCCTGACACTACAGATAGATAAAATGAATGGCACCGAGAAAAGAATGACGCGAGCCTTCAAACCATGTTTTGGTTCTCAATCCTTTTTTTTTCCACAGCAAGAACGTATGTAACAACGCCATATAACAGTTTTGTTTGAGTCAAAAGTAAACTTCATCGAATGATTATGAAAGCAAAGTCAATAATTCCTTTGCCCTGAAGGAATCTTCCAGCAGCCTCTTCATCAGTGGGTAATTGTGCAGTCCATCGTACTAAAAAAAAATGGCAAAATATGGCCAAAAAAAAATAATGTGTGATGATATTTCAAACAAAAATTGGAAATCTCAAGCCACAATACTTGGCATGTTGTGGTAGCATTGTTTTCTTCTCATTTTTTCTTCATTTTTAGCTGACAGCACTCTAACAGAATAGTACCTTTTTTATGATAAATATTTCATTAAGGTAAGTGTTGATGTCTAAAATAATATTTCATCATTTTAAAATTTTGATAAAAAATTATCTTAGGCGGGAAATTTTTCATATTCCTAAATGCATAATTACCAGATAAATTTGTGAAACATATGATAAAAAGCACAGTGAAAATAAATATGGAACATTACAATATATATTTTTTATGTTTACCAACACTCAACAATAAATAAAGTATAAAATAATAATAAATTACTTTATATTATTTTCATCCATACCAAAGATGAAATCAAATGTTTTGAAATCATCAGCAGTAATTTGTCTTGCTTTATGTTGCATGGGTATAGAATGCTTTTCCATACACTGCCTAGCTCTTCTATCAGGGTTTTTGCCAGTATGATAATCTGAAGTTGCAGCACTATCAATATGCCACTGCAATTTAAAAAAAAAAAAAAAAAATATTAAAAATTTAGCAAATATTTTTAAAATGATAATATTTTCTGAAAAATTAATGGCAAAAATATATTTATGGGTGCCCCTTGCTGAAAACTTGTGGTACATGGACACCGAGTTTGTGCAATTCTTTGACTTATTATTTTGGTTTGGTCGTTACACCTTTGTGTAACCAAAATAACAAGTCAAAGAACTGCACAAACTTAGTATCCATGTACACATTGACCTATTTTCACTTAAAAAATCAGAGGATTGCACAGACTCAGCACTGCGCACTCCCTTGAACTTTGTTCATGTACACATCAATCTATTTTCACTTAAAAAGTCAAAGGACCCAATTCTACACTCGAGCCAAAGAAAAAATATATAATCTCAATAAACTACATTTTAGATCAAACAATAAAATAACATAAAAAAGGAAATTCATCTTTAGCATCTAAGCACTACACACATGAAATATCTACTTAGCTGATTTAGAAATTTCCGTGCCTTCAGTTTGTGGCACACAAAATTCCTTAACAGCATTAAAAACCTTTCCTCAAATCATGTTCCCTTTCTAATGAAACACTTTATATGGTGAGCATTTGAACCTTTTTTGCGACAAACTCTTTCAAAGCCATCTGAACGATCTTTACATTCTACCATATGCATTTCCTTCGTACAAACTGGACACTTATAATTCCGCTGAATTACATCCAATAAAGTTTCTTTTCTTCTGTCTTCAACCATTTCAAAGAAAAAAGAAAAAACAACCTTCCGCTCTCTCGTTCTATACCACCAAACACCCACTTTACCATAGGCAGCCATTTTATGAAGCGCAGGACACAATACGCGACATACTTCCTCGCTGACATCCAACAAATATTTTCCCATCATTCAAATTCACTGCAATCACACAACCAATCACGTCATAATAGGGTTTCGAGAACATTCAACTACTCAGGTTACTATAAATTAAACAACAACTTTGCGATAATCCAAAGGGCACCCTTAAATATAGGCTAATCAAATTAATCTTTTACCAATGAAACATTTATAACATTTCCATTTTCATAATAAAAATCATAATTTTAGAATTCAGTTAGCTATCTGAAAAATTTCTGTTCACTTTCACTCTACATACAAAACTCATATTTTTTATACCTTCATACACACTAACACAGTACATGCTATATATATCAGAAATGACCAAACTTCATGTCAGCAGGAACCATACATTATAATTCTGAAAAACTGAAGAATACAAACTAGATACACAGAATTTTATCTAAAATGAGCATTTATACTTCTGCACGATTTTGCCTTCTGTGGAAATGGTTATGTTCAACACTGGTGTTATTTACCCTCTCAGAAATATTTATACAGGTTACATTTTTAGAGGTAGTTTTCTCAGGGATGTTATTACCTTGAAAAGTTTCACTACATTTATATTATTTTAAAGTAGTAAAACAGTTTCTGAATAGGAAGAAATGTTTCAGGTAATATGATGATATTACATTTTATTATTAACACACATTGGATCGATGAATAAGACCATGCCATTCTTATCTGGGTTGGCAATAACACTGCATTGCAAAGCCTTCGTGTTTCGTTATTCAATTTTTTGTCTTCAGTTTGCAATCTGTGGCGAACAGGAGCTTACATGTTGCTAACAGCTCGTTTTGGCCATTTTCAAAGCTAATCAATATGGAGTGGTAAGTAGAGAAAAATGAACACACCCGACTCATTATTGGTCCTTCTGACTACCATCTTTTCACGTGCTCTTTCTAACAACAACTAGGGTCAAGTGTTTTACGATGAAGCTTCTCTTAGCAGCTGGCTTACAGATTTCTTCAAATCAAAAACCTCAACCGTTCTACAGGAGAGGAAGAGAAATCCTATCTGAATGCTGCAGGTAGTCATTAACAAAGACAGTGATTACATCACTGATTGAATGGGTGAGTGAATATTGATTTATGACACTGCACATCTTGTTATTGTGTATTATATTGTAGTGTATTTTATATTAATAAAATCAAGTTATGGTAAAAAATGGCAATCCAATGAAGAATAGCACAGACTTAAGCACCAACCCAAAATTAGCAGAACAACCTTGACATAATGTGCCAATCTTTTATAGAAGTGTAACAATTTAGAATTAAAAATTAAATATATAATCAAATTAACAAAATGAGAATACACCTATCAAAAATGCCAATTAAGTAAAAAACCAGGAATTAACAATTTGAAGTCAATATCAATTCCAATCAACCAAGTCATTAAAGTACCAAATCCTAAATGTACAAAATAAGAAAACAATAGAAATTAAAAAATATAAAAAAATAAATGAAAAATTTTGAAATTAAATTTTAAATACTGGAAAAAAAACTGAAGTGAAAAATGAAATTAAAAAAAATTGTCTTTCAAGCACTAGCACTTGTCTTTCAAGTTGTGAAAAGCAAATTCAATTGAGATGCAAAAATTTTGGGGGAAAGTGAACCACTGCTTGGTGAGTTTTTCAAAATCGGCAACTTGAAAATAACAAATCAAAGAATTACACAAACTCGGTATCCACGTACACATCAACCTATTTTCACTTGAAAAAAACAGAGAATCGCACAAACTCAGCATTGTGCACTCCCTTGACTTGTCCATGTACACATCGATAAAGACAGGGAATGAGTGGGTGATTCTGCATTTCACTCACATTTTTAATGCAAAAACAAAAGGATATATATGTATATCTATATATGTATACATCCTTAGAATCAATCATTAAACTTATTTCTAAACAAGATTTTTGTTTCTTTCATTCTGGTAGAAATTTCCAAGTGATCACTTTGAAAATAAATTTAAAGCAATTATGTGGCGATATCTGAATCTGGTCCCATTAACAGAAAAGGTCCTTTAATAATATAAACTTTTTAAATTATAAAGCCATGGAATGATGAAAATCTTGCATTTAATCTTACGAATATGGATCAAAATGAAGTATTTTCATTAAACAAAATTCTTAAATTTTGAAAAAATATATATATATTTTTTATTATTATTATGGCAAAACCTTGAGGGCTTTCTGCTTAAGGGGAAGGATGTCTTCGTGGAGGACTTTGAGGGAAACTGGCTTGTATACACCTTACACATGAGGAAAACCACGAAAACGCCCATGTAGCAAGCCCGTTCGCGGGATTAGAACCTCGGACTGAACTACCAGTATTCAGCGACTTTACCACTTGGCGGGGCCTTTGAAAAAATATATATAATTAAATATTAGCTAAAGTCAGCACATTAACTGCTCTAAAATATCAAACACATCAATTTCAAATCATCCAGGTCTCCTGGACAATCTGTTAGAATTTAAAATTACAATAAAGGCACAGAGCACTAAATAAAAGATTTCAAAATAATTTTCATTAATTATAGCTGTTTAAAATAAAAATTTTCCACACTAAGCAGACACAAGCTTAAAACTGAAAACAAAACAGTTTATTTTTAATAATAACAACGTAAGTTTTAAAAATGTAATACATATACATACTAATAATAATAAAGGGAGAAAACATGTTCAATGGCTAAAGCTATATAAAAACAATTTCATCATTTCTAGATAATCATATTATAATAAAACTTTACGCATATTTTTATAAAAATTGATAAAATTAGATATCTAAAATATAATTTAAAAAAAATCAGTCATGTAAAACTGGAATTTTTATCACAGCGAATTTTAATTTCAAGACTGTGCAAAGATAAAACAAAAACTTTATGTAACATTTTACGGAACACTGCAAAACTGAACTTAGGTAAATATATAATTAAAGGTACTTTTCCGTTTTGCTGGTGCAGGCGATAAAGCTGCCAGTAGTGATACAATTGATGCCAAACAAAATATCCTCGCTGGTAATCTTTTACGTCTCACTTTCAAAATAAGTCGCAGCCATTTCTTATCAGACTGATTGTTTCTTTCAATACTGGCATACAATTACATAGAATTCTTACCAGATAGTTCAATTTTATGCCCTAAGGCCATTCGCGGTAATTAAGTCAATTAGGATGCAATCACACCACTCACCCGAAGGCGAAAATATAGAACAGGCAAAGTCAAGAGTTAAATTCATCAATTCTAATGAGTATGCACTAGCGAAGTAGAATTAACTTAAAATTAATGTAGATAATTACTGAGAGAATTAGATTTTTGTAACATAGTTTATGTGAGATGAGATCACTTGGGGTCAAGTGATATGAACTGGCAAATCAGGATGCTGAACCATGAAAGCATAGTATATTCTTAAACTAACGTCTTTTCATAAATTTAGTATCTTTATATATTAGCTTTTTACAAAATTTTAAGCGACATTAAAATGTTTATGCCTTCAAAATAAAAAATTCGACATTGTATGTTGTCGCCAATAAAGTCTGCTTGGCGAGATTTACGCCGGCGAAATGGAAAAGTACCTAATTACAAGATGCACTGAAATAAAATAATACGAACCACATAATTTTCATTTGTTTTAATATCTTTATAGTAAGTTATGTCATAAATGAAAACATATGACTTAAGTTTGTAATAAGAAAAATTTTACCTTATCAGATAATCCCCGCTCTCTTACATAATGAGAGAAAACAGCTTCAGCAATAGGGGAACGGCATATATTACCTGTAATAATTGAAGCTATAATTATGCCTATGCTTAAGAATTTCCAACGAATACTCTTTATTCTGTTAAGTTAATGCATGAACTAGTCCTTTTAACAAGTTTTCTCACATCACCCATATGTACCGGTAAATACAATGTAAAATTAATGAATCTAACTACATATAATAGTATAACGAAACCGGCAAAATACTTATCTCAGGGCAAAATTACCCATGAAATTTTCGTTTATATGCAGAGCCAGATTTAGACTTGATAAGGCCCTAAGCTATAGCTTGTGTAGCTTATATGTAAATCATGCACTGTTTATATGATTACAAAAACAAGTCAGCATTCAAAATGATAAGACACGGTCTTCAAGCATAATCATAAGTAAAGCATTTAGATTAGGAATTAAGTTGTAAAAATGAATGTCTTCTCGAGCATTCCGAATCATACATTGATAATAGTTTAGACGTGAAAATATTACCTAAGCATACAAATAAAGCAGACTTTTTATTCACAGCCATACTTTTCCTTTTACATCGAGGTTCGGTACTCACTGCCGGGTGTCGGCAAGGTCTGACTATTTTTCAAATTCTGTTCTTCATTTTTCATCGAATTCATGCGAAACTAGGTGGCGCTTTGAGCCCTCTCTATGTGTTGATTTTTTATTATTATATTTATTACTCTATAATACTGCCCATAAATAGTCAAGCGATAACCTTTTCTACCCATAGCTATGTCTAGTGTACAGTTGACAATCTTATTCGCGCTACAGCCTACATAGTGGTTGGTGCTCCTGACTGCCGTAACGATTAGTCCCGGTTCGAAACCCGGAGAAAGCATGGTTAAATGGTCAAGCGATTACCTTTTCTACCCATAGCTACAGTGGATGAACAAAAATATGGAAACACCTTGTGAAATGCATGTTTGAAAAGAAAGATTGATTTTAATGAAATATGTAGGTGGCGTTGGCGTTTTTGACTACTGACGCCACCTATACAACTTCGTAAATGTGATAAACAGTTCAGTTGTTGTCGGAGTATTGTTATGTGAGGTTGTCATTGCATTATGTCAGAGTTAGCAGACTTCGAACGTGGACAAATTGTTGGAGCACGTATGGTAGGTGCTTCCGTTAGCAAGGTAGCCGAGGTGAGTGTTTCAAGAGGTACTGTATCGAAGATTTATTCCGCATATTTGAAAAGGAAAGCATAAGGAAAAACATCATCTGCTAAATCACAGCGCGGACGAAAGTGTGTCCTGAGTGATCGTGACAGACGATCATTAAGGGCAATTGTGACGAAAAATAAGAAGACCACAGCTGCAAAAGTTACTGCTGAAATGAATGTTGTGTTACCGAACCCTGTGAGTACCAAAACAATTAGAAGGGAGCTTCATAAACAGGGAATTGCTGGCCGTGCTGCAATTGAGAAGCCACTCATCAGTGATGCTAATGCCCGTAACAGGAAAAGGTGGTGTTTAAGTCATAAAGCCTGGACTATAGAGCAGTGGAAGCGAGTAATATGGTCTGACGAGTCTTCTTTCACATTGTTTCCCACTTCTGGCCGAGTTTACGTCTGGAGAACGCCATCTCAAGCCTATAATACAGACTACTTGTTGCCAAGAGTGAAACATGGCGGGGGTTCTGTTATGGTTTCGGCAGCCATATTCTGGCTCTCTGCTAGCCCCATGATAACTGTGTCAGGGCACATGACTGCCAAGACTTATGTGAACATTTTGGCCGATCAAGTTCATCCCATGGTACAAACTTTGTTCTCCGATGGTGATGGTGTCTTCCAAGACGACAAAGCCCCTGTTCACACAGCTCCCATTGTCCAGGACTGGTTTTCTGAGCACGAGGATGAGTTGTCCCATCTCCCCTGGCCACCACAGTCACCAGACCTGAATGTTATCGAACCTTTGTGGTCTACATTGGAACGGAAAGTGCGTTCTCGTTATCCACCGCCAACATCGTTATCTGAACTTGCCACCGTTTTGCAGGAAGAATGGTATAATATTCCCTTGGCAAACATACAGGAACTGTATTTATCCATTCCGAGAAGACTACAAGCTGTTTTGGATGCCAACGGGTTTCCCACACCATATTAAGCAAAGAAACATGTTTTTTTAAAGGTGTTTCCATATTTTTGTCCAACCCCTGTATGTCTAGTGTACAGTTGATAATCTTAGTCGCGCAAGAGCCGATATAGTGGTTGGTGCTCCTGACTACCGTAGCGATTTGTCCGGGTTCGAAACACGGAGAAAGCATGGTTGTGTAACGTAGGAGGCAACTGTGGTCACCTGTTAAGTGCTTCCATAACTAAATGGCCACTTATTATGCTATGCGAAGAAAACGTTATGCACAACATCCAACGCTGTTAAACACAGAGTAGGGGAGATTCCCAAGAACCTGCTGCGTCACATAATATCCGAAAGGCCACTACTTTCGGCCCCTGTAGTGGCTAATGGCTATTGAATAAAGCGCCCGCCATTAAAGGGAAATACTAGTTCAATACAAGATATTGCAGAGTCTAGCAGCTGCAAAATATTACGATTCTGAAGCTTAACTAAGTGCACCTTACACGGTTAGCGATAGACAGCTAGTGTAACGCAGTGTTTTCAGGTGTAGCAATCTTGAAAATCAATCAAAACGCTCGCACTGCAAAACATTCTGAATATCAGAATTTGTCACCCGGGAGATTTTTTGAGAAAGCGGTAGAGCATTCAACTGCTACATAACAGCATTCAACTGCCAGGTTTAAATCTCAAAGTCATTATAATCTATTATTTCTCTCCTACAACGCTAGCCATATTCCGGATGTTCTGAATAATGTCATCACTAGTCTCCTCATCTTATTCTCTACATTTATACGTTGCTCATGATCTCCTTTCTGACCATCTCCCGGCCAGATTCACTCTATATGGACTGCGTCATTATACGCTGCCTGCTAAAACTTTTGCAAATTGGAATATTTTCAAACAAAATCTCCGTAGCATTATCACTGCAATTCCGCACGAAATCTAATATAAAAAATGCAGTCACTGATTTAAATCTCAAGATTCAAAGTGCAATCACTACTGCAAAATATACTCTAACGAAAGATGTTATCTGCCCCCCACGGCACATTCTTGACTAAATAAAACATCACCGGATTCTTGAACTTTATCAACGCAGTCAAGATCCTAAAATTAAACTTAAATTTAACCAATTAATTAGAGAACTCAAAAGTCTTTGCATGGAACATAAAGGCAGCAGCTGGAATTCCTTCATGGAAAGCCTCTTCCATCTCGATAACTCGGTGGGGAAAATAGCTAACACCCTAAAGTAAGACAATCACAACATCGGCTCTATCCCTTAGCCTGTCGAGTGATTTTCTGCGAATCCCTTTAAAACTGTCGCTAGTTTTGGACCGAACTTCCCGTAAAATGTCGCGAAAATAACCCTAAACCTCTGAAAATTGTCAAGCAGTTCTTTTGTTATTTCCCATCCCTCCCAGAATTTTACTTCAATGATTCCACTAAGTCAGATTGATTACTAGATATTGTTTGGTAGATGTGAGCTCTCAAGAGAATTGCAAAAGGCTAGACTCTCCGTGACGACCGTCTTAATGCCGCAGGGTACAGTTGCGAAACTTAAAAGTTTCCTTCCCTTAAACAATCTTATCTCTACATCCCCCAGGGGGAAGCGATTATAGTAGTTTTGATTGATACGGAAACGTTGAAGTCTTTGAGCCTGTTGACGCATCTCAGAAAGAACGTCGGGTGCCGTCCAGTACTATCTGAATCTAAACGTCGTCAACGGGTGATCTATTTGCTAAATCGCTTTCCAGTGGAATTGACCTTGCCGTGGTCTGGGGGCTCCCTCACAAGAGGGTCCAACTAATTCCACAGCCTAGTAGTGGTGATCGGTGAGAACCCCAGGGTACCGGTCACCGCGAAGAGCACCCACCGCACTTGTTGCACCCTTTACGGTGCTCGCGGTGGTTCCCGAGTAGGCTACACTCCCCACACGACCAGAGTGCGTATAACAATTACAAATCTCACGCACAATGGCCGCTTCGAAAGAACACGAGTCAGAGAGGCCAATAGGCCCCAGGAACCGGAAGGACCTGGCTAAGACTGAAAAACAAAATAGTAGTGCATCAAACAATGCAACAGATAGTGAAAGTGAAAGTGAAAGTGTAAAGAATGTAAATAGTCAAAATTCAAGTAATGTGAATAGTGGTAATGCAGAACAATTAATAGATGAAGCATATGAGTGTTTAACCCATCAACGAGCCCGCCTCTCGGAACGAAATGCTTCGAAAACGGTCGCGTTGTCAGACAACAAACCCCTCCAAAAAAATCGCTTTCGTTTTCTGAAATCTCTCTAAGATGGCCCAGCCTAAGGCAGTATGTTTGCTTCCCCTTAGTGTGATGGATAAGCCATAAAATTGCCTCCCCGCTATTGAATGGCAAGAAGTAGTTGTTCCGTTTAGTTTCGTCTCCCTCCTCTTTCTTTGTACTAGTAGCCTGTAGACTTGTTTCTTTTAACATGTGACGGCCGAATTTTCCGAAATCTTTTTAGAATTTTAGCTTCCAAGCTTGTGAACTTTCAATTATTCGACATGTTTTATTGGGCAGTATTTTAAGAAAGATCATTATTTATTTTGTTACACAATTTTTTACTATTTACTTATCTATTTTATTTAGTTTTAGTAGACCAATTTATTTTGGGAAATTAAATTTTAATCCATTCTTTTACCGACTCAGTTTTCATCACATTATAAGTCCATATATATTTACGATGAGAGTACAATATTTATCAGAAATTTTTGGAAAATTTGGCATATGCATTTATATTTTAGCGTTGAATTTTTTCCACAAGTTGTTCGTTAACTGTCGAGCTCATCTTCGTCTTTTCAGCGTGGAATTGGCAAGCATAATCTTCCTAATATTTTTCGGGATTTTATAGCAATTTCTAGAATTTTGGCGGTTTTCTACAAATATTTTGGTAAGTTTAGCTATTATACAGTTGCTACTAATGTGGAATTTAAAGCCAAAAATGTATTCCTTCGTTGATTTGAGAGATCGCATTTCGAATTTAAACGGAAGTTTAAATGAATTTGATACAATCTTACCACAGACTAGAAAGAATTATTTCTCTGTGTTGGATGGATTTTTCTCACTTTTCTGCATTTGATACATTAAATGCATAAAGCAGACACTCACAAATAGAATTTAAATAAATTTATTTAAATAAATTTCTATTTTCATTTAAAATTTGTCATTATTAGCACCTCCCGCAGTTTTATGCAATCATAGGATTTTCCGAATTCTATTAGGTCGTTAACATAATTTCAAGGCCTAATAGAAAAGTGATAATATGGAAAGACTATGTCTTGAGTACCAATAGCCAAGTATTTGTAATTAAATAAAATAATATTGAATACCAGCCGCTTTTTTATTTATTTTTAGTCATATAACAAAAGATAAACAAGAATACTATTACATCTAAGAATTATTTAGTAAATTATTTTGCTAATGTTTATGAATGAATGAGGAAACACGGTAAAAATGTTTTAATGATTGAATTCACCGTTAAAAATCAAACAAACCCCAAAATTCCTTTTTCCCATAACTTCGTAAAATGTT